TTGGCCTTGTTGATGGCATCATTACACTGCCAGCTCATGTTCATCTTGGAATCAACTATGACTCCAAGATCCCTCTCAGCTGCTGAACTGCTGAGGAGGTCATCCCCCAGCCTATAGGTGTGCTGGGGATTCCTCCTCCCAAGGTGGAGTACCTTGCATTTATCATTGTTGAATTGCATCCTATTTTGTTCTGCCCATTGATCCAACCTGTCTAGATTGGCCTGTATCTGCTCCCTGCCCTCCAGTGTGTTAACTTTGCCCCATAACTTGGTATCATCTGTGAACCTAGAGAGGGTGCTTTCCACACCCTCATCCAAATCTCTGATGAAGATATTAAATAACACCAGTCCAAGGACCGAACCCTGCGGGACCGCACTGCCTACCTCCTTCCAGGCTGAAAACGACCCATCCACCACCAGTCTCTGGGTGCAGTCCCTAAGTCAGTTGGCCACCCACCTGACTGTGTGAGAGTCCACCCTGCAGCCTGCTAGCTTCCCTAAGAGAATAGGTTGCAAAACTGTGTCAAAGGCCTTCTTAAAGTCCAAGTAGGTGACATCAGCCTCACCTCCTCTATCAAGGCAGTGTGTGACCTGGTCAGAAAAGGCTATAAGGTTTGTCAGGCAGGATCTACCTATGACAAACGTGTGCTTGTTGCCATTCAGCATTGTTTCCCCTGCTGGGCCTTCACAAATGTGCTCTTTGATGATTTTTTCCAGTATTTTCCCAAGGATAGAGGTAAGACTGACTGGCCTAAAGTTACCTGGCTCATCCCTTCTCCCCTTCTTAAAAATAAGCACCACATTGGCCCTTTTCCAATCCTCAGGGACCTGGCCGGAGCACCATGAGTTCTCAAACAGTCGTGTCAGAGGCTCAGCTATGACTCTGGCCAATTCCTTCAGCACCCATGGATGGAGGTCATCCAGGCCAGCTGACTTGTACCCAAGTTGAAGTGGTACAGCTCTTGTGCCTAGGTAAGGAAAGAAACTTTACCTAAGCAACTGGGAAAGGCTGAGAGAGGGTCACTTGATTTGCATGAACCTTCTCAAAGAAAAGGAAGTACCTACAAGTTTGGACTATAGTTCCAGGAAGTACTTAAATGCATTAAACTCCATTGAAATAAAACTGTTGCTTAAATAAATATTTATATATTAGCACACATTTTAAGCACCATGTTTCAGCATGGAGATGCTCTCATAAATTATGATCTGAGATAGGATATGAGGGCCTCATTCTATGCCGATCGCCAAAGCTATATCTGTCAGTAATTGGAAATGAATATTTTTTCCACATAGCAAGTCAACATTCAACATTCTTCCAGTTTGCACTGCTGCTTTATATTTCCAAAATTGGGTGGTCTCATTTGGCAGTGCTCCAGTATTAAAAAAGTTCTTTTGAATAACAACCTTCAGGAAGAAAGACCTTTGTACTATACATACATGTATTGCTTGTAAAAGTAGCTTCCCAGCAACAGCAGCAATAGTAAGTAACTGGAATTGTTCTATTTTGGAAGCTGGTAACAAATACAAAGGGCTCCTTTGCTCTGAAAGTGGAAAATATTCCACTCAGAGTTAACCAAAAACAGAATAACTGGTGAACTACCTTCAAATAAACTAACACAACACATGAGTCTTCTAGGAACCTAGACTTCCTGGTATCTAACTACCAAGGATCCTAGAAATCAGTTTGCTATGGAAAAAATATGGAAAAATGCCAAATTTCCATTTTTACAGAGAATCTTTAGTTTTTACATTTTGTGAAAAAATTAAAACATACATTAACTATTAACTAAATTTTACTGAAAGTACCAGTGTCACTTATTCACTGTGCGCAACCTCCCCCTCTTGTGGCTGATTTTTCCATGCATTTTAAATTACATAGCTAAACACACTCCAATAAACTGCTTCCAGTGTATAGAGGTTACTCAGTGGCATATAGGAGTTTATTTTTTAATCCATCTCAAAGTTTACTTCAGCCTCCAGACATAATTAAAGTTATGAAAAGATACTGGAAACTTTAAAAAATCACCCCTAAAGACCATGTCACTGAGTTTGGCAAGGACAAATTTCACACTGATGGTAATGTGCTGTTCTATACTATATGCAGCAAGGCTGTAGATTACATTTGAAGGCAAACTATTGTAGAGCACAAGGAAAGTGCTAAACACCAACTGAATGAAAAGAAATGAAAACAAGAGGCTGAAGCAGCAGGGCCATCGACAACAGTAAAGAAACAACGCGCTGTGACTGGATCCTTCCAGTGTTTTACAACTGCCAAAGAACAGCATGAAACTGTCACTTCCGATTTTGTTTGAAGGTGTGTAAAAGCAAACATTTCTCAGCGTAAAATGATTTGCCTGTTGTCAAATGATTTATCTGTTTCTTGTGTTTTTGAGCAAGCAAGTTAAAAGGGGCTGTGCCTTTCCCAAGTCAGATCAATTGTATTCCCATTACTTACCAACTCTTTTTGAAGAGGAAAAATGGTGCCTTCTCAATGACCTGAAAGGAAACTCCATTGCTGTGATCACAAATAAAACAAGTGACTTCCAAAATAGACCAATTTTCAACATTTTAGTTCAGGTGCTGAGAGTAGATCCTCCTAAGCATGCTGACATTGCCACACCACAGCTTGTAAAAACAGCGAACCTCGGAAAATTTAATCACGCCACCATTTCACAGGCCTGGATTTCTTGTATGGTGGAGTTCAGCATCCCACTTGATCAAATGACCCACCTTATTGGGGTCATTTGACCCCAGTGCTCTTCCTGCCATGGCAGGGGGTCGGACTAGATGATCTGCTCAGGTCCCTTCCGACCCTAGAAACTATGAAAATATTAGCATTTGTAACAGACAGTGTGAGCTACATGGTGTAGCAGGCTCACCTTTCAGAGCTTGTGTTGAGTCCCAGGCTTGAGTTCCTGCTGTTTTGATTGGTGGAGCCCATCCACCAATCAGGAGGCAGCAAGGGAAATAAAGTCACAACCCTTTCCTGAGGAGAGGGGGAGAAGAGCTCCCCCAGACCTGATTGAAGGCTGCAAACTGTCAGGTCCAGAAGACTTCAGGGGCAGAGTCCTGGAGTGTATAAAAGGAGCTGCGCGCCCAGCACAAGAGAGATGCGTCGGGGACAGAGAAGAGAGAAGACCGGGGCTTAGAAGAGCTGAGGAGAGCTGCTCAGCAGGGCAAAGTAGTAGCCCAGGAAGAGCCCCTGAAGACTTCTATCAGCAGGGAGCGGTGGACGGCTCCAGCAGTCAAGCTCTCGCTGTGCACCATGGCGCACGGCATCCAGACCCTGGGAGCTGCATGAGGTGGCTTGGGTCTGCAACCTCTGGCATGCAGCCAGAGACACAGTGCATGGAGCAGGACCTTTGGAGCTCCTTGGGCGGCTCAGGTCCACAACCTCTAGCTCGAGGCTGCGAGCTCGGTGGAGGAGGTGCAGCACGGTGGGTGAGAGACCCTGGGAGCCGCTGAAGGTGTCCCCAGAACACCAGCTTAGTGCAGACGACACTACCCAGAGGGTACAGGAGCAGACCAAGCCCCACTGCTGCACAAGGCTGTCCAGGCCTCCAACCCCTAACACAAGGCAAAGCACCCACTACACACAGCAGTGCATGTGGCCCTAAGCCAGGCCAGTGGCAGCAGACTGAGGCAGCAGGAAAGCCCAGCAGGGAACAGACCTCGATCTAGAGGATGGGAGGCAACCCTCCGGGGCTGTGGAGTAGTATGTTACCCTGGAGAGAGGGTCCCAACAGGGGAGGGACCCCCCAGGGTTGCAAAGGGGCACCACGTGGGCCGCTCCTGGGTGACAGCGGGGGGAGCTTAGGAGTCTTTGGGGTCTCCCTCTCCTTTTCTTTCCCCCCACCTCCTTTCCTGTAGTGGTACCTTGGGAATGGGGCCCCTGCCCTGGAGGGAACCCAGGTAGTCTAAGTATTGCTGGTTATATTTATAGACTGTGCCTTATAATTTATGTAAGTTGAAGCAATAGTTTATATATTAATAGAGTTATAAGCTTGCCTGATCAATATCCTTTGGTCTGTGTTGTTCTATTGTTCATCTGTATTTCTAAATAATAATTGGTTGTGTGTGTGTATATGTATATATATATATGTGTGTGTGTGTGCGTGTATATATATGGTATAGGGTTTATTGTTTGTAAATTTATATATATATATATATATAATTTATGTCCTTACCCTTTAATGGTTTTGTTGTAATAATAAATTTGTATATAGTTAAGTAATTGATTGACTGGGCCTGACTCTATAGGGGACAGAGGTGGCCTGCGGGCTGTTGTGTTCCTCCGCAGCACACTGTCCTGCCAATAATTCCCTCAATTGGAGAGGGAAGTACAAACCCGTGTACACCCAGGCTACAATAGTAAAGGCTTGGAATGATGTGCTTTTCAATCTGTTGTCAAATGGTGTACATAATCATTGTTATGCACATATAGTCACTCTGGCAGGAAATACTTGGTGAGATACCTTTAAGCAAGTGGATTAATTTGTCACTTTGATGAAGTCACTTTTAGTAAAAAGCTCCATCTTGTTGTGCACCATTCTTGAGAACTGAATGAACAAAGTCCCCTTCCTTGGAGGTGTTTAAAAGGAGATTGGACAAACACCTGGCTGGGGTCATCTGACCCCAGCACTCTTTTCTGCCCAGGACAGGGGGGTTGGACTCGATGATCTAATAGGTTCCTTCCAACCCTAACAACTATGAAACTATGAAAGTGTTGATTCCCCCGTGCTTCCACCTGAACCAGTTGTGACCAAGTGAAATACATGGTTCAGTTCTGTAAAGTACCATACACAGAACTTCCAGTTCTACCATGGGCTCATGGAGCATGAATAAATGGAACATGGGGCTATACCTGTTTTGCAGGCACTAGCCAGCCTGCTAACAGTAGAAAATGTGGACATTGACCTAAAATACATTGCAGAGAACTGCGAACACCTGGTGACAGTACTGGATGTTTTACAGTACCAAAAACACCAAATACACAAAGTGTACAGTGTTGTCCTAGATTTAATTTCATGGTTGGAGCACCTTGCTTCATCACCTGACAATGTAAATGGATCTGCAGCTGCTCCAAGTGCTACTGAAAAACTGACACAGCAGAACCTAAAAAAATAAACAACCAGCAATTGATTTTCTCAGCACTGTTCATGCAATCGATCCTAAACAAATAGGTGCTGTTTTTACAGATTATGAAACTGTGAAACCACAATTAAAGCTGTCTGATGAATGAAACATGAAATGACCAGTGTATTTAAAGTTTGCCAAAGATGCGTTTGGAGATGTTGAGGATCCCATTCACTTCTGGATGGCTGTTGAAGATCGTGTTCCCAACCTGGCAAAACACACAATGGTTCTTCTCCAACTGACTGTAAATTCAGCTGATGTGGAAAGAAGTTTCATCAAACTTTTGGTTCTTTTCTGTGCTCAGCGCCAACATCTGAAAGACAAAAATGTAGCTGGAATGCTGCAACTCTATTTTAACAACCAGGACTAACTCAGAAAGTGAGTAATGTTAATATAAAAGCAATTTTGCTTTATTTTTGTGCACTTAAATTTTTTTTTTGAAAATATAGAATACAGACATAAAAGTATTTGGTATCTGTAAGAAACACAAAAGGCAATTCTATAAATGTTGTTTTCTTGTGATGATTGATCACAATGGTAGGCTTCAAACTTGCTTAAAAATGTAAATATATCAATAAAACATTGTTGTTCAGCTGATACCTATATCTATATCTATATAAATATAGATATCTAGATATAGTGACAAGGGAAACTAAAGTTCAGTATTTAATTTTAATCACAGAAAAACACAGATTTTTGTTTTTTTAACAGAGAATTTTGAGGTTTTTATCATGGAGAACTAGGATCCCTGCTAATTACTTGGGCTCAACCATTCTCCACAACAAACCCACATCAGTTTATCTCTGCCAGTTCCAAGACTGTTCCAGCAACATATCTGTGGATGCTTCTTTGTTACAGAGGAACAGAACTAATTTAGCAACTCTTCTGAATCTAAGCAAAATGGTCTACTCAACCCCAAATGGACTCTTTTTTCATAAGAAAAATTGCAATAAGAACAGCCCACAAACTATAGTTGAACAGGCAGTATCAGCAGTTCCACAGATGCATTTTTCCTGAAGCTTAGTTTCCTTCTTGTGTATGCCTTTCACCCAATGCTAGCTTTAAAAATCAGGGTTTTAAAGAAGGGGTGGAAGAGGGAAGTGCACAGAAGGAAAAACACAAGGGACTGTGGGGGTAAAGATGAAGTCCTGAATGAAAAGTCTAGACAAAGGAAACGAGATTTGTTAAAAGTGGGAAACCTTTCTTTGAGGCCCTATCCCCTCTCCCCTACACACACATGTGCACACCCACATGCGCATAATGGAGTTTTATTACGATTTCCCTTTATGGACGCTACATGAAATGTTTTTCATTTGACAGCCTCTACTTTTCATCCTATTGGCACAGGCTTGTGTTCTACTCTCCAGAGTGACATTTTTTTTTTTGGAAACATCCCTATCACAGGGTGGTAATAAATAATAATGTCTGCTGTAGGAGATCCAGGATTAAGGACCTGCCAACAATGGAAGTGAGCAAGGATGCAGACATGGGACCCAAATCAAAATCCCAGGTCTAAACATCCCTAACTGAAGAGATGACAGGGGTCCAATGTGGGGAGACAAGGGTGGGGGAGGGAGTGGCAGGAGAAGGATGTAAACCAAAAACCAGGATTCAAATACTCCAGGGCTTGAGAGAACAGAGGAGCTGAAATGTGGTTCCAGGCTTGATGACTTGATCCCATCTCTGTGTGTACTTCAACTGGACCCATGACTGAACTCTCTGTACTAAGTGGTAACAGAGCTCTCTTCCACCGTTCTGCGTCTGGTTTGAGAATAAGAGAATTCATTGTTGCAGTCTCGATCACTAAATATTAAATGCAGATTGAGCTAGTAAATTTTCGGGGTCTGATTTTGAGCAATATGGGAGGTATCTGAATCCAGCAGTGAGCGAGGCCTGAGGCTCTTGCAGTTAAACCTAAGCTGTACCTCTGCCTGGCATATATTTCCATATTCTGTACAAAACAATTCCTTCTCTACAATCTCCTTCCCTCTGAGGACAGGTTCTGGTACGCCCCCTCCCCTCGGCCAAGGTTTCAGATTCCTTTATTTTCTTTCTCCCTGTTGATTTTGTTTGTTTTGGTCCTATTGTATTTTTCCACTGCCCATTGTTTTGCCTTTTTCTTTGTCTTAGTGGGGGAGAGAGAGAGAGAGAGTGAATCAGAGATCAGCTAAGCTGCCATGCTCTTTCCATCACTGGTGAGTGATGGCATGTCTACCCTATCACCAAACTGATTGAAGAGTACAACCGAGAAGAATGTACCTCATTCACTTCCCTCCATGAATGCTAAAAGTCCACAATTAGGTAACATAGATATTTTGCAGCAACCCTGGGTATATGCCAATCAATGTGTCTGAGACACACAGCCTGAGTGGTTCATTGCCACTCTAATGTGGCTCCATGGCCTAGTTTCTAGGATTTGGCATGCAGGGAGCAGGAGTGAGTGAGTGTGACATGTTTCTCCCAAGCTAAGCATGGATACAGCGTAAACAAGCTCAAGCTGACTCAAGCAGTGTGGGAAACATCTAGAATTAAAATCAGTGATTTGGCAGACATCATAAAATTGCTGAGAACCCAAGGCCTCATCTTAATTCCATGTCAGTAACAGAGGCTCATCCTGGTTCAGATGATATGTGAGAAAGAAAGAACAAATATCTTAAGACCCAAATTCTGCCCAGTTGCACCTGTACAAGGCCATTGTTCCTATTTTGGCCTTCATTTGCAGATGGGGTCTACCAGGTCCAAATTCTGCTCTCTATCTAGTCTGTGCAGATTAGATAGAGTGCAGCTCAACATGTTGGACTGCTGAAATTCTGAAGATACAAGATGTTCAAAGATAAAAGATAAAATATTCATCTTTAGTCTTAAAATAAACCCTTTAATACTTAAACTGAGGCGTGCATGCAAAGTGGGACTTTTAACACAACTCAAAGCTTCAATATAAGAAGACCTAAAGTAATTTAGGGTAATTTTTGTGCTTTTCTCTCCTGTTCTGGTGTCTCAAAAAATACTGGAATTATAGGCATGTACCCTAAATTCTCTGTAGTCCACAGCGTTACATGGAAATTCACTGCACTACCATGCTTACTGATCCCAGCTCCAATCCAACACACTCCTTTTGTCAGAGTTTGTGATGGTGTCCTTCAGAAACAGCCTTAGAGTTCATTTCCATGGTGCCTGTACCAGAGAAATACAGGGCATGTAGGACCCCTTAAAAGGAGCTAGCATGAGAGGGAGGATCTCAATCATTATTTTTGCAAAACATTAAGAGGGTTAAGTTGCAGAACTGGCATTTCCAGTGAATACTTGTATTTAGCTAAGTTTCCACTGCTCATCTAACTAAATCTAATTTCTAATAATTCCCCCACTCTATAACTGTATATAATACAGACTGTAGTGGCTCCTAAGCTGTTTAACGGTGATATAGGACAGTGTTTGCTTGTATCTGGTTGACCAGACTTTGGGAAAGAGGTGGCAAATGACATGAGCAGGTAAGTGTACATCAGGATGTGTACAGACCTACAACTTGACCCTTTCCAAGAATGTCACTGATTGGGAACTGGTCCACAACTGTCCCAATTTAGAGGTGTCTGTACATGCACTGCCAAGGGTTCTAGTAGAACAAGTCACCTTTAGGCAACACAATGACATCAAACTGTCACCATGCCCAAATCAGCCTGGGATGGCATGAACCTGATCAAGTGCAGGCAATATAGTTTGACACAGTAGAGTGCTGGCAGCATACACGAGTAGCCGGTTGCTACACAGGAGTTGGGGCAAAGAAAGAAGGTTAAGGAGCAGTACATGGTGGGATGGATGGAGAACCAACAAGAATTTATGACAAAAAGCTTGGTGTCTGCACATAACACCAAGTTGGTTCAAGAAGGTCCATTTCAAAATAATACCCAGTTATCCAGATATACTTTTGAAACACTCCAAGAGGTTTAACTGTTTGGAACAGTTCATTTTATATGCAGATTAGGCTCAGAGAAAAGTTGGAATACTCTGTTTACCTCAAAGTTGTTTGGTGGTAAGCAGGATGTAGTCAAATCTACTTCTCATTATGGTGTTTCATATTTCACAGAGGAGTAAATGGACGGAGTAATGCTCGTCTGGGCAGGTATTTCTCATGTGATAAGATGTCTCTGAGCTCTATGATGAGCAGGGATCCGGGTTTTCTGTTTCCCATGGAAAAATGGAGAAAACCACAGATTCCCTGTTTTTATTGGAGAAAACACAGATTTCTCTTTTTAGCAGAGAAATTCGTGGATTCTCTGCTTTTGTAAAGAGCTCTTTTAGGCTGGCACAGCTCCAGCCTGCAAGAGCTGATTGCAAAAAGGGTGGGAAACCCCCAGCAGCACAGTGCCGGGTGGTGGTGGGGATGGCTGCGTGCCACCTGGCCACCACCATGTTGCTGCTGCCGCCCAGCAGCCAGCTGCATAGCTCCGGGCACGGCTCTGCAGCTGCAGCAAGAGGTTTTGTAGGCAGTGGCCATCACCGCCATCATGGCAATCCAGGTAAGCAGCCCCCCTGGCCCCATCCCTCGCCGTGGCTGCAGAACCAGCCACAGACCTGTGCTCCAGACACATGCCAGCCTCCCTCTCCCCCTCTCCCCCCGTTGGCAGGCAGCCGCATGGCATGTATGCAGCCGGCACATGGCAGGCACAACCACACTGCACCCCGCATTGCTTGCCCACAAAGTCCCCCTGCAGAGGAGCACCCCTGCCCTCATGCCATGGCTCTGCTCCCAGCTGCAATGTGCCGCCTTGGGCTGGCAGCCCCCCCTGCTCCCCAGCCCTCAACTATCTTCCCCAGCCCTGTCCCACAGCCCCCAAGCCCCCAAGCCCCACTTACCTCTAGGATCCAGGAGTGAAGGGTATGGCAGCATTTGCCCGCAAAGCCCCACCAGCCTGCATGCAGACGCCACCACCCTGCACTGCCACAGAGCCATGCAGCTGGTTGCTAGGCATGCCACTGCATGCAAGCCCCCTGTTTCACTCCCCAGCTGGGCGGCACATATATGGCCCACACACAGTGGTTGCCACCTCACTGCTGCTGCCGTGCCCTGTGCCACTTGCCCACAAAGCCGTGCAGGTGGCCATGGGATGGCAGCACAGGGTGCAGTGGCAGAGTTGTGGTGGCAGCCTCCATTTGCGAACCTCCTTTCAGGCTGGCCGGTATGTGTATGGCCCACAGAGTGACACCCCTGGCCTCACCCCCTGGCTCTGCTCCTGGAGTGGGCACAGGGGCACACTCCACCCCACTCTGGATATACCCCCCAGCACCTTCCCTTTCCCCCACCCTGCCCTGCCCCTTCCCCCCACACACTTACCTGATGGGGTGGGTGTCAGTGTCTATGTCTGCATGTCTGTGTCTGTGGGTCTGGGGGCTGTTGCAAGAGGCATCAGGAGGGCTGTTGAGACTGTTGGGAGGAGTGTGGGGCACCAGCAGCACTGGGAGGGGCTGTAAGGGACCTTTAATTTTTATCATGGATTTTGGGTTTTTAATCAGAGAATTCACAATTTTTAATCAGAGAAAACCAGAATCCCTGGTGATGAGACTCTGTGATGATGCAAATTACCTCAAACAAAGGCAGGAGAAGGATCTAAGGTTTCAAGTGGTCAATCTTTCTTCCTCCTTGTAAAATTACATAGATGTCATTTTTTAAAAATTGGCTAAAATTTGATATATTCTATGTGTCAGGTATCCAGGTTATAGTCATATTGGTCTAGTGGCAAAAGCAATGAGGACTCATGGTAGAGGTGATATCTTGTATTAGACCATCTAGATTTTTACAAAAAAACTCTTTAATTGCAAGCTTTGGAGCACAAACACCCTTCTTCAGGCATAGGAGAAAAGACTGTACAAGTTCTCCTGGGAAGAAATGAAAACTCATATTTCATAGGCAAGGTGAAGGTGTGGTAAAATCTCCTGTTTGGAACAGTTTATTTTATATGCAGATTAGGCTCAGAAAAAGGTTGAGTTTTGTCCAAGACTCAACAGACTTTCTATGAAAACTTAAAAACATAGGCCACCTTACCAGCAATACCCTCCTAGGGTGCGTCCACACCTGCAAGCATGTGCACTTGCAGCAGCTCAAATAGAAGCGGTGCAAATTTAAACCAGGTCTTTTGCCTCAGTGCACATGCTCGGACATGCACTTTGTTGTGGAGCAAACTGTGCCACTTGGGGCAAAATATCCCTGCCTGGCTCCTCCCAGATGTGCAGCCAGGGGGAG